CCTTGGCCCCCCTTCCCACCCCATCCCCACCCCAAACCCACCACCACCAAAAATATACACTGCTGCTTCCAGAATCTGGGATGTGAAAGACAGATGTGACATTCCAATCTGAGTCCCAAGATCTGGCTTCAAATTCCTTGGCCCTTCCTTGGTGTTGCTGAGGATGACGCCTGGGGCTGGCTCATTTCCCAGGTGGATGCTGACCACGAGACCCAAGACTTCCGCCAAGATTCCTTCCCTGCCCCTCCCGCCCCTCCCTCACATTCTGACCCAAAAGCCTCTCCAGCCATGGACAACTGGGCCAGCTTTGGTTCCACAGTCTGAAATGGAGGAGAGCTGGGCTGACACAGGGCGGAGAGAGCAGCCTGAATAAGGGGGGACAAGACCACCGTGGCATGGGGGCTCTGTGGGGCGGGGGGGGCGGGGCACCAGGGCTACTAGATGCTGCTCACTACTGAACAGAGGCACCAGCACGCAGAGACGCACGACAAGCACACCCCGACCTGCACATGCACAGAAAGCTCAAGCAGGTAAGTGCGCACCTACAGACACACACGTACACACACACGTGTAAGGGCATGGCACAGACCAGGCACAACAGGGGACGCACCTCGGCACATGCACACACAGCTGGACAGACAGGCGGCAGACTCCGTCTCCACTGGCAGTCCCTGCAGCTGTCCGTGCGAGGGAGGAGGGCAGCGTGTGGCTCAGGGCTGCCCGTGGAGGGGCTGTCCTTCTGGGTCCTCTGGCCACTTTGATGTTTTGTGGGTTGGTCCCTGGAGGAAAACCCTCAGTGCTGCTTAGCACTGGCAACAACTTGGCTCCTCCTGGCCCCTCCCAGGCCACCCCTGTCAGCACTCCTGGCCGTACACGCCAGATGCACCGGGTCTTGCAGGACTTCCCACTACAACCAGTTCACGCTGTGGCATCGAGTTCTCCACACGATTCGCTCTCAGAGTCTCCATGCCATTAGGAGGTAAATATAAAAAGTTTCTGTGTCTCAAACCCAACGTAGGAGTGAGCGAGTCTCCCGGGCTCTGTCCCTCACGCAGGCCAGGGCTCCTGGCCACAGAGGGCTGGGCAGAAACGAGAGGTAGGCCTCCATCGTACGCTCAAGGCGGCAGTGCTGTGTAGTCCTCGCTGCCGTGGCTGCATGTCGGGGAGCGGGCGCAGGTTAGATCTTCACATCCTCCTGCACGCTGAGCTGGGACAGGGTCTTCTTGATGCGCAGAGCAGTCAGGCGGGCTGCGCCGTTGGCGTACCAACACTCTCGCATCATCTTCCCCATCACCCGTAACGCCTGCATGGAGAGACCCAGAGGCCGTCACCCTCACGGTGCGTGGAGGAGCCCTTGGGTCCCAAGGCTGCTCACGTCCCTCCTGCCTCCCCTCAGTGCGGAGTCCTTCACAGTCTCCGGCCTCTTCACCCAGACCCTAGGGAAATGCCCTGCCAGCGCTCCCCTCCCCCGGCTCTTCCCTCCCACGGGTCAGGCTGTGCAGGTATTGATAAAGGAGAGCGCAGCAGCTAAAGACCAGCTCTTTCAGCCTCGCCCCTCATCCTCTGAGGCAAACCCAAACCCGAGGGTTCTAAGAATGCTGAGAAATGCTGGTCTGCTATGCGATGAGAAGGCATCGTTAAATTGCGACCTCAGACCTCAGGTACTTTGTTAATGCAGAGGCGCCCCCTCGTGGTTACACTCTGTTAAAGCAGAGCCAACCTCTCCCTAATTGGCCAGAATGGTGACCTGAGTGACAGTGAGAAATGACATACCTGGAGCGTGCTGAGGGCACAGATCTGAAACGGTCGCACCAACCCCCCCATACACACAAAGGTAACGAGGTAAGGTGAGAGTTGTGTGATCATAATCATCATTTCACTACATGGACCAGGGGACTAACAACTCATGGGAAAATGGAATTTAAAACGTTTATTTTGGTGCAAAATTGTAAGCTCCACGTTTTGTCATAATCTGCATTTTCCATGAACTTTTGGAAGAGCCAGTATCTATTGAATCAGTAGTTTGCACACCTTAATGAGAACTGTCTGCCAGTTATTCCTCTTTCTGAGGTAGGAACGAGGTACATGGGCAGGGCGCTAGCCCACGGCTCGGTAGGGAACAGCACATGCGCACACAGTGCTGACACGCCAGGGCTACCCCGGAAGTCAGCCCTACCACCAGGAAAGCCTTTTCTACGGTAGAGAAGTCAGCAGATGGAAAGGCCACAGGACCTACCTCATAACTCTGCCACCAGTTAGGGATATTGGGACGTAGCTTTTGGTCACATACGACCTTTCGCATTTCCTCAATGGAAGGGTCAGAGGGCACTAAGTCATAATACGGCAGCTGATATTCTTCGTGGACTCCTGGGAGAAAAGAAAATACCTACCTGAGTTATCAAGAAAAGGGAGAGAAAACTCAAACACCAACACCCACACCCACACCCACATTGTGGTTTTTGTTTGTTTGTTTATGTTTAAGGTTTTTGCCACAGGGTGCATGTGTGTACTTGCCAAATAGAGAGACAAAGAAGCAGTGAGAGAGAAAGTGAGAAATCATCACCCGGGGGATGGCCATGCTGCAATCCCTTCTCCTCCATTCTCCTCTCTGGATGTTGGGCACGCGAGTACACACATCCGGCGTGATTTTCAAGCCACCAGGTCCAAGACTCAAACTGCAGTCTTTCAGTGCAAAGTCTAGCTCCTTAACCACTATGCCACCTCTGGCCCTCCCACATTGTGATTTATAAATACCAATTCCTACTAAGACCAACTGGGGCTCGTTGTAGAAGCTGGCTGGCTCTGAGTATGGGGTAAGAAATACACAAGGGTAACCAGGAACATCTTTTCACACCGAAAAAGCAAGAGAACTATCAAAGTCTATTCAGAGGTCATGTCAAGTGGTACCAGCATGAAAAGCTCCCAAACGGCCAGAGATGTGAGCATTTAAGTAACGAGACTAGAAATTTCAATGGAAACAAATATTTTAAAATCAAACAGTTCATACTAACCCATAAAAAAGAAACGTCAGTTACCTTTGCAAAATGTTCGGAAACTAAATCACCATTATTTTCTTTAAGCTTATTTCTCCATGAGCAAGAGAGAGAGAAACAGATAGTCAGAGAGAGAGAGCCCTTGACAGGGCCGTTTGACCACAATCACCCTGAGCTCTAGGTGACCCTAGACCACAGACGCATGTGAGCCGAGCATACTCAGGGAGGTCTCCTGACTTGAACCAGGAACCTTCCCACGTGGGATAGCCTCTCAGAGCACTGCATTTTACCACTGTGCCACTGTCCAGTCCCCCAATTAAAAAATTTTTTTTCTTTAGTTTGCTATAGGGCACATGAGCTCAATGGAGAAAGAGAAAGAGAGAGAGTGAGCTAGAGAGAGAAAGAATGAGAAATCACCCCGGGGGGATAGCCATGCTGCAATTCCTTCTCTTACATTCTTCTCTTGGGATTTTGGACACACATGCACACACACCTGACATGTTTTTCAACCCACCAGATATGGGACTCGAACCATGCAGTCAGTCATGTGGGATCCAGCCACCCTAACCTCCATGCCATCCACTGGCCCCAAGCTCACTATTTTGAAAAATAAAAAATAAATGGAAAAAATATCAAGTATCTCTCCTGCCTTTCCTATTCAAACTAGATATCTTGGTAACCAAGTAGCTATATTTTTTTAAAGAATTATTTTCTTTATTTTCATTATTATTATTATTATTATTTGCAATTTGCTGAGAGAGAGAGAGAGTGAGCGAGAGGAAAGTGAGAAAGTAAGGCACAAGGTCCAGAACTTGAACCTCAGTTGGCCATGTGGGAGTCCGATGCCTTAACCACCATGCCACCTGCCAGCCCCCTAAATAGCTATTTAATAATTAGGTTAAGTTTCAAGAAGACTCCTCCATTACCACTGAGAACTAGTTGTTTCAGGGAAAAAAGAGAAATGAAGATTTTCTACTGATAATTCAGATTCCAGCCCCCAAACTCGAGTGGTAGGGAGCCCCTCTAACCTTCTCTCTGTCTCTTTCTGTCTGTTTCAGGGAAAAAAGAGAAATGAAGATTTTCTACTGATAATTCAGATTCCAGCCCCCAAACTCGAGTGGTAGGGAGCCCCTCTAACCTTCTCTCTATCTCTGTCTGTCTCTCTCTGCCTCTCTCTGTCTTCTCATTTTCTTTTGGTAATTTTTCCTTTAAAAATTTTTTTTAAGGTGGGGACGGCAGGTGGTGTGGTGGATAGGGGCACTGGATTCCCACATGGCCAACCATGGTTTGAGTCCTGGACCTGGAGGCTTGCTTTCTCATTTTCCCTTTCTCTCTCTCTGATAAAATTAAAAAATAACAGTAACAAATGGAATTAAATAAAAACTTTTTTTTTAAGGTAAAGTATTCTCTTGGCTTTCAGATCCTCCTTATTAATAATCCCATCTCCCTCTCCCCTCTAGGAGAGGCAAGGAGCAGGCCTTCAGAAGAAGACTCCTCTATTACAGAGAACTAGCCATTTTGCACAATGTGTGTGGTTTTTCATTTTTTGCCTTTTTTTTTTTAAAAAAAAAAGAGGGTTATTTTGGTTCTTTTTTCTTGTTTTTCCTTCTTTTTCTCTCTCTGTTTTCTTATTCTCTTTCTTTTGTCTCATCACTCTGCTCCTCAATCTCCATTCACTGTGTTTCTACATGGATCTAAGGGAACCATAGCCAAATATCCAAATACTATTAGGGTTAACGTATTCCTCAATACCCATTGAATCTGCTGCACAAACGGATAAAAAAGGAGCGGCAAAGAGATTCTAGATCACCTCCTTCTGCACGCTCCTGAATGCTTAGATTAACTTCAAGAATTAGAAAGAAACGCACCATCCATCAGATGACTAGAAATCACCACAGGGCCACAAGAAACATGGGAAAGCAAGAAAATACCTCTCCTCCAAGGGAAAAGAATAACTCCTCTTCATCCACAGACAGTTCAATGGAAATCATGGAAATGTCTGATAAAGAATTTAGAATATTCATGATGACGAAGCTAACAGAGATGGAAGAGGAGAGAGACAATGAACTGCAGAAGAGGCAGGAGAAAGGAGCTGACGAGTTCCAGGAGGTGAGGAAATTCTTGCAAGATCTAGAAGAGGAAATACACACTCTAATTTTGGACCTGTAAGAGATGAAGGCTATAATACAGGAAGTCAAAATCTCCCCTTAAAGTATTAAAAGCAGACTAGGTCATACAAAAAATCGAATCTCAGATGTAGAAGATAGAATCGCTGGCCTAGAAGAATTTACCACGAAGACTGAGAAAATTGCCCAAGGAAAAAAAAATGAGAATAATATACTAGAAATACTAGATCCCATCAAACGTCCAAACATCCATATAACTGGTATCTCAGAAGGCGAAGAGACTCATAAGGGCATCGATAATCTATTCCATGAAATCCTGCAAGAAAACTGTCCAAACCTAGAGAGGCACTCAAAAATCCAGTCCCAAGAAATACAAAGGACCCCAGATAGAATCAACCCAAGAAGATCTTCCCCAAGACACATTATAGCCAGACTGACCAAAACCATAGACAAAGACAAGATACTTAGATTGGCAAGAGAGAAACAGCAAATTACCTACAAAGGATATCCCATCAGACTAACGGCAGACCTCTCATCTGAAACTATGCGAGTGAGGAAAGAATGGGAAAATATATCCAAAGTGTTAAGAGAAAAGCAAGTTCAACCAAGAATACTGTATCCAGCAAGATTGTCCTTCATGTGGGAAAAAAAGACAAGAACATTCTCAGATTAAACAAAACCTGAAAGAATTTATCAACACCAGACCAGATCTCCAAGAAGTTCTCAAGGGAGTGCTGTACCAGGAAAATTAAATACAGACACACAGTAATAATTCAAAAATTAAGAAAATGGCCAACTTAATTGTAGGGACAAGTCTGGAGTTGAATATTGTAGCCCAGAATTTAATCGGGAGGGCTGAACCACAATAGATGATAGATTAAGTACATGAGACTGAAAGGGACCAGCAGATAGTATAATGGCTATATCGCTGAACTCCCATGTAGTCAACTGTGGTTTGAGTCCTGGACCCGGTGGCTTAAACTCACGCTGGACGCATGTATGTGCGTGCCCAAGATCCCGAGAGGAGAATGAAGGAGAAGGGACTGCAGTGTGGCCATCCTCCCCGGGGGGTGATTTCTCACTTTCAAAAAAAAAAGTACATGAGACTGAACTGGTAAAGTACTACTTTATGACTTTTGACGAAAACATTGCTGATTTTCTTCTAGGCTTTGTTTTCCGGTTTTAAGGACTTTTGTCCCATCTTGAGCGAACGATAGGTTCATGTACCTAATATTTGAACAGAATCCCAACCTGTTTCCTGGCTTTAAGTTTTAAGCAAAGTTCCTTAGCATTTATTTGATTTATTAAAGCTAAAACTGCTTTTCTTGAAATTAAAAACTATATTAAAAATAATTAGGTTAAGTTTCACTTTAAAGGAAAAATATCTAACTAATACGTGGGAGATAGATGGACTCAGAATACCACACTGTCCAACCTCTGCGGGATTTGGATCTGGACTGGGGCAACGGCCTCTGTGGGCTGCTAACATCACAAAAAAGAGACAGTAGACCCTATGAGCCTTGTTGAACAGACACAGCAACACAGGGAGTTTTTGCTCCCAAAACCTCAAATATGATTCTAGTCCCCACATCTACCTACAAATTCATAGGAAATATCAAAAACAGGAGAGTGAGTGGAGTCCATGGGATGCAGTCAGTGAAATCTAGTCTGGGAAACTAGGACAAAAGACCCGAACTCTCCAAAAAAAAATAAGGTGAAGAATTGGGGGAAAAATAAAATGGAGAGTGAACCTGTAGATGAGAAGAGGTTACGGTGTGTCAATCAAGAGTGATGGATAAACTATCTGGATCCTGATTCAAATAAACTTTTTAAAAATTAGGAGACAACTAGGGAAATCTCAACACTAGATGTTAAATGAAATTAAGAATTAAAGTTTGAGCTGGCCCTGTAGCCTAGTGGTTAAGGGAGCTGGACAGTTTGAGGTCTGACCCTGGTGGCTCAAAAACATGCCCCAAACCCCAAAAAGATGGAGAGATGGAAGGAGAGACTGCAGTGTGACCATGCTCTGCTGGGGGGCTGCTCTCTCCCTCTCCCTCTGTCTCTCTTTGGCAAGCATAAGAGCAATCTGGCAATTAAAAAAATTACTGTCCCTCCCCCCACCCCCAACCAGTTTTGCTACAGGATGCACAAAGCCTCCAGGGAGAGGGAGGGAGGGAGGGAGAGAGGGAGGGAGAGAGAGAGAGAGGAGGGAAAGTAAGAACCCCCTACCCCCAGGGTCCAGAACTAACCACATAGTCGACTATGTGGGATCTAGCCATTTTAACTTCCGAGCCACCTGCTGGCCTCGCTGTTCATTTTTTAAAGTGTGGTATATAGTATCACATCTTTAAAGTCCTTATCTTTTTTAGAACTACAAACTAGAAGATTTTCCAAATTAAAAATTTTAAAAATCCTGAGGCCTGGAGGCCAAGCCAGCTGGATCCCACGTGGCTGACTATGCAGTTTGAGTCCTTGCTCTAATCCTGCACCCAGCAGCTTGAAAATCATGTCGGATGTATGTGTGTGCATGCCTGGGGGGAATAGGGAAGGGACTGCAGCATGGCCATCTCCCTGGGGGGTGATTTCTCATTTTCCCTCCTTCTCTCCTCTCTCTCCCTTCCTCCCTCCCTCCCTGAATAGCACATACATTCTATAGCAAACTTATACACACAAAAAATTAAATCCAACATATCTCCCTCATGCCTTTTTCTAGAAAATTAAACAAACAAAACAAAAAACCTGCTGTCTTGAGCTAATGGAAAATATTTTTTCCTTTTTAAAAATTTTGCTGGAGGGTACATGTGCTCATCAGAGAGACAGAGAGAAAAAGGGTGGGGGCGGAGTGAGAAAGCACCATCTATGGGAATGGTCACGCAGTGATTCCTTCTTCTTTATCTCTTCCTCCTTTCAGGACTTTTGGACACACACGCACACACACCTGGTGTGTTTCTCAGGCTGCTGTGCCCAGGACTTGATCTGTATAGTCAGTCATATAGGACCAGCTGCCTTAACCACCACATTATGGGCTGACCCCGGAAAGACTTTGTTAGAGTTTTTTTTAAGAGGTTTTTTTGCTATAGGGCACGTGCACTCACCAGAAAGACAGAGAGAGACAGAAAGTGAAAAATCACCCCCCAGGGGGGATGGCCACGCCGCAATCCCTTCTCCTCCATTCTCCTCTCGGGATCTTGGGCACGCACGCACACACACCCAGCGTGAGTTTAAGCCACTGGGTTCAGGACTCGAACTGCAGTCAACTACATGGGAGTCCAGCAACACAGCCATTACGCCAACTGCTGGTCCCAGATTTTTAGAGTTTTTGACTTGGTAATTATTGAAGGGGTAGTGTAAAGTTTAAGCCTTAACCTCACTACCAAAGTTTAAATCGCAGTTTACTAGCTGTGTGACCACAGACAAATTACCTAGCCTCTCAGCCACCCATCTTCACTATCTGTAAAATAGTGACAATACTGTCTACTTCCTAAGTTTGTAAAGATTACGTAAATTTACACATGCCAGGTGTGAATAAATGTTAGTACTACAGCTAGTATAAGACGTCCTAGGAAAGAAGACATGGACTGATTCACGATTTAAGGTGTGTGACCAGATTTTTCTTAATCCGTCTTATCTGAGCAGTGTTTACTGATCAAAACTGAAGCGCTACAATTCCACAAATAATGGCTGGACACCTCCCTTCCACAGTTTGGGTCTTACCAAACCTATCACAGATGGAAATGGGTAATAAACACAAAGCGTTCTGCTGAAGACTAACCAGCCAGCCCAACACACACACCTTTCATGAGAGAGAAAGAAAGAGGGAGAGACAGATATTTCTGACAGAGTCTTGCCATGTCAGGATCATCCCACCCTCGTCTCCCAACTAGCCAGGAGAACAGGAATGCAAACTGTGCGCTGCGTGTTCAGGTCGGCTCAGAAATGGAACCTAGGCCTCCCACGTGGCTCCCAGCCTCCCGAACGGTGGTGCTGTGTGCTACCACAGCTGAGCTCCGGTTTCTTCTTCTAATCTCTCTTTTCAAAAATAGTCCCGTTCCTTTTAATTCAACCACTTCCCCATCTCTGATGGAACAGATAAATGGTTGAGGGCGCTAGAGGGTCTTGAACTTGGTCACATGGCAGACTACTTGAAGGTCAGTGTGAAATACTGATACATTAAGCTAACTGTTTTTTGCTTAACCTGATGCTATCTTTTACTGGATTCTGACATGAATAAGCAGTTGCAAATGCCAAAGTTTTTTTTTTTAATTATGGGAGGAAAATTTGTTTTGAGACAATTCTGTGCACTCCTGCAGATTTCTAAATTACCACTATTACTTTGGCAATGAAACGCCAGGGTTTCCAGCAATGTGGCCTGAGAGCCGGTGTGTTAGACTATGCCGCATCCGACATTAAGGAGACCCCTGCAATGATCCTGTGCTATTCACATCCAGGTCATTCCCCAACTCCACAGTCTAATAAAAACAATGTTGGAAAAAAAAAAATCCAAACAAGCCTCCAGAATGGTTTACCACGAGGAAAACACCAATCAACAGTTGTCTGGAAAAAAAACACCTTTAGTGCAGCTGCCTCTAAGATTCCACACCTTCAACGAGAACTGTAAGTCTCTGATTCGGGCGACAGCCTCAGGTGTCCAACAGGTCATAAAAAGGAAAGGGGGGCAATAAAACTCTGGCACCCTCGGGTGGCCCAGCATTCTGGAACTCAGAGGAAGGAACAAGAGAAGGCAAAAAAAGATCGGTACCTCCAGAATTGCATCTTCGTGCAATCTCCCAGTACACAAGCCCGAGGGCATAGATATCAGCACATTTAAAGGAGTCAAAGTGTTTCATGTTAATGGTTTCATCAAGTACTTCAGGGGCCATGTATCTGCAACAGCAAAAGAGACATGGTCACACAGAGACAATGATGACTGCCCCCCTGCGCCAAAGCACCCATCCACGGGCCTGAGTGTGGGGGAGCATCGCCCCAACACAGTCCCTCAGGGAGGGGGCAGCGGGCGGTCTCTTCATTGCACCGTGTTTGGATTCAGCTCTGAACACTTGGGCGTGGATGTGGTGACCAGTCTACTCTCCCGTGTCTCTGAGACCTGCTCTGCAGCATGTCTGGGTCTCTCGGCAGAGCCTCCGCAGAGGATCACAGGTGCACAGAGCACAGTGCACGGGAGCTGGCTGCTCCCTGAGGCTTTCACTGTAGCGGGTGCAGCCACAGTAACGGCTGAGCTTACATTTCACCCTGAGCTGCTTCTGTTATCCTATCCTATTGCAGATATATGACCACTAATCCTAGAGGTGGCCACGGCCACCCTTGGCTAATTACTAATACTCAAGCCACTACCCCCACCCCAGTCAAAGGAATCATGTTGGGCCCACACTTAGGGCCTGGGTAGCTGCAATCATTTGTCCAAAAAGAACGACAAACACAGCAGCGCAACCCGATTCATGTTGATTCAGCCCAGAGCCCCCTCTCCCATCCTCTAAGAGACAATTCCATTTCCAACTCAGAAGTCAGTCTGAACCGTCATTTCTTACTTCGTCTCTGTCTGAAGTGGGAGTGGGCCCATACTTCTTAAGGGTGTCCACAGTCCCCACCCGAGATTGCATCCAGTCTAGCTGGGCAAACCTGCTCCCCAAACCCCAAGTAGAACACACTCCCTGCCTCCTCAGGGCTCTCTGCACAAGCCACCCCTTGGGCCTGCAATACCTTCCCTCTTCCCGCTGCCAAATCTTCTCCAGAGTCGCCTCTGCTCCCACTCTCCCCAGCTCCCGTGGCACACAGCTCTATGGAGGGCACCCTGCCTGTGGTACTTGTCTCTGTCAGCTACAACCGTGTAGCTTTCCAGTGTCAGCAGTAGGTGCACTTCAACTTGCCGCTGTCTAAGAGAAGGACCGCTGCCCTCCTCCAGTTCCCCCGCATCCTATGCATATGGGAGGGGGCACACCCGCGGTCCTCGGTGCAAGCTGGGCGTCAGGGCAGAAGCCCAGGTCCTCCTATGCATATGGGAGGGGGCACACCCGCGGTCCTTGGTGCAAGCTGGGCGTCAGGGCATAAGCCCAGGCCCTCCCACCTACCGTTTGGTTCCCACCCTCTGATTTGGGGCAATGTCGATGGTGTCAGTGACGGCGTCGTGGCGCACAGCCAGGCCCAGGTCTGCGATGGCGCACATGCCGTTCTTCTTCACCAGGATATTCTTCGACTTTAAGTCTCGATGAGCAATTCCAGGCTTCCCTGGCAGGGAAACAAACAAACAAAGCGGCATTGTTAAATAAAGGTGGTGTAAATGTTAAAGGTGTAGAGGTGCAGCCTGACTGTGTTTCAAGTCCTAGCTGGGCCTCCCGCTCACCACGTGCTCCTGAGAAGTGGCATAAACCCGTTTCTACTTGGCCTTTTCGTGCGTGAAATCAGGACGGAGGTTCACGGGGATGCTGTGCGGACTGAGTGCACTAAGGCAGCAGGGAGCTTGGGCGGACGCGTGTACTGGCTGAGGCTGTGATGCACGCCCCCGTCGCTCACCGACCTCAACCAGTACACTCAGGTACAGGACTGCTGAGCACCTCGGAGACCACGGAGGCTAGGAGCAGGAGCCGACTCTCACGGCTGGCTCTCGATCGTGGCCAGCAGGGGCTCCTGTCCTGGTCCACAGGCATCGGGGATCACACCTGCCTCCGTGACAAAGCGCAGGCTTTCCCGGGGTCACCGCTACCAGCAGCAAAGCTCTGGGCCTTCTGCCTCCAGGAAAGTGATCCTGGCTGAGTGCAGGCTTTCAGCCAGCTGTCCCCATCAGGACTGTGACCGACTAACGGACGCTCCTGTTACAGGGGTTCCATTCTTTGGCACGCATCCTGTGGGCTTCAGAGATGACCACTCCTTGGTAACAAACAGCCACATCAGCTGCTGACCGACAGACGGCTGAACGCCGCAGGTGCTGCCGAGTTCTCTGAGGGTTTCAGAGACCCCTGCCTTGTGAACACCTCTTGGTCTCACTTAAACAAAGCTCAAACCTGCCCTTGTGATTAAACTGCAGTTCCTGAGGGGCAACCCCAACTTTCTCAGGAAAAAGCAGTTCTAGGAACTAAAGCAGAATATGCCAGCTTGGCAAGTCCGCCCAGCCTCCCCACTGTGTGACCGACCCCTCACCTTGGGTACCCACGATCTCCATGTGCAGGTGTGCCAACCCGCTAGCAGCAGAAAGGGCCAGCTTAATCATCCCCTCAATCGTCACTGTGTATCGGTTCAGGTAATCAAACAGGGAGCCATGCTCATGGTAGTCGGAGACAAGCCACAGCTGTGTCCAGGTGCCATTATCTGCAGAGAGCCACAAGTGAGTTCCGGAAAAGGCGTAACTGTCAGCAAAAAGGTTGAGACAGGACAAGAAGAATGTGTACAACACCAAAGAACACTCCTGAATTTACGTCTCACACTGCCACACATCCTAATGACGCCTGTACGCTATGGTCGACCAGCTGGAAGCTCCAGTAGGGACAGACAGCAGCGTCAGGCCTGCTCCCTCACTTCTTTATTTTAGGCAGGTTGCAGTGTACTGAATAACATTCCTTTTTTTTTTTTGCTTTAAGGTGCATGTACTCACCAGAGAGAAAGAGAGACAGAGACAGTGAGAGAGAAAGTGAGAAACTTCCCCCTACCCCCAGGGGGATGGCCACGGTGCAATCCCTTCTCCTCCACTCTCCTCCTGGGACCTCGGACAACGTGCCTAGCTTGATTTTTAAGTCACCAGGCCCGGGACTTGAACTGCAGTCAGTCATGCAGGGGTCCAGTGATGTAACCACTACGCCATCTGCTGGCTCCAGCATTCTTTTTATAAGTCAAATTTGAAATATGAGGAATTCAGGAAGGAGAAAGCCTATGCTTTGGGAAAAAATGGGCATCATTACTTTTTAAATTAATTATTAATATTTTGAAAAAGTTTTTGCTATAGGGCACGTACGCTCGCCAGAAAGACAGAGACAGACAGAAAGCGAGAAATCACCTCCTAGGAGGGATGGCCATGCCGCAACCCCTTCTCCATTCTCCTCTCGAGATCTTGGGCACACATGGACATGTGCCTGGCGTGAGTTTAAGCCACCAGGTCCAGGAATTGAACCTTGGCCACATGGGAGTCCGGCGACATAGCCATTACACCGACCGCTGGTCCCGGCATCATTAGTTTTTATGTAACTGTTTTTGATCCTGATAAGCCTCACTCACCTACAGGTCAGAACCACCACCAGCTACATCCACCACAGCCAAGGGGACAGCCCTGAAGGCCCTCCTCTGTGCTCCAGTGACCCTGGGACACAAACCGCCCACGGCCCTGCTCTCTTGTAATGTTTCTTTTCAGTCCACTGATCTAACCAGGCTACGCGCTCTCTGTGACTGCAAGATCTCCTCCGCACATCATCGCATTCTAGGCCAAAAACTGCTTTCCAATCCATGAATAGCCTGCTCCCAAGTATTCCCAGAGAGGCCACCTTATCTTCCAGAAGAGCAGTATGAGGTAGAAAGCACATACTTTATTTTCCTCTTTCACACAGGAGGCAGTGAGGAGGAGGAGGGCAGAGAGGGAGGTCACAAACAACAATAAAAGCTGGGAATCTAATTAAGCTATGCTGCTGACAACAGGAAGACTGGACACCAAATGGAGATTGTCCTGATCTGGGCTATGCTAGTTCTAGGATGCCACGCTCTACAGATCATGCTCAAGGGCAAGAACCAAAGAGCCTGCGCTTCCCACCTGCAGACCCTAATGTGGCTTCTGACCGCCAGATCCATGAAGGGAGTGGCTCTAGTCCCCAGCCAAGGGTCCACCCAGCACAGCACACTGCTGCTTCTCTAGCCAGCCCTCCAGCCTGGAGAACCCTACTGCCACATTAAAAGGGAAGACAAGTGATCCTTTCAAACACACATGAGATTTGCATTTCCTCAAAAGTGATGTTTCCAAAAGGAGCAGTTCAGGGCTGGCCCCACAGCACAGTGGTTGGGCCTGTGTGCAGGGAGCCAGATCCCACACAGTTCGCTTCTCAGTCCCGGCAGGGACTGACGGGATGGAGAAATGGAAGAAAAAGGACTTGTGTGTGACCACACCACTCTTGAGGGGTGCTTTCTCTTTCTCTCTGGTGAGCACATGCACACTCTGGCAATAAAAAGATTAAAATAGGGGTCGGCAGGTGGCACGGTGGTGAAGGGTCTGGACTCCCACATGGCCAACTGCTGTTTGAGTCCCGAATCTGGTGTCCTGCTTTCTCACTTTCCCCCTCTTTCTCACTGTCTCTCTCTGGTCAAATCAAATAATAATAATAATACTAAAAATAAATAAAGTTTAAATAAAAAAATTTTAAATAAACAGAAGGAAACAGTTTACTCAGAGGAAGTAAACATTCTTTCTCCCCACTTCCCTGTATACAAGTCCAAGACTCAGCGTGAGGGCAGCTGAGGCCACGACAAAGGCCTCAGCAATGAGAGGAGCGAGCGGCCTGCGGTGGTGTTAGGGATGCAGAACTACGCCCAAGCGTCTTCTGAAGGCGTCACAGCCGCCGCCACCTAACACCTGCTGTGCCATAGAACAAATTGAGTCACAACCGCTGGAGTCTTCTAAAAGGTGAGCCCAGGCACCTGGAGGTCCTCTCCACACTGCAGGTGCACAGCCTGCCCGTGTCCTGGGAGCTCTGTGAGCAGGGATCGCATCTGCTCTTACATGTGACAATCTGAGCGGCAGGCGGAGTTGCTGGCCCACGGCAGTCACCAACTGCTGGTGAATTAATGAGTGTCATTTAATGAGTTAGTCACGCATTGATTCACAAACCATCTTCAGAATAAAATACCATCCTCTTAAAGAGGCCCTTGTAATCTGGGACCAGCAGATGACATAATGGTTATATCACTGGTCTCCCACGTAGTCCACCATGGTTCGAGTCCTGGACCTGGTGGCTTAAAACTCAAGCCGGGTGCATGTGTACGCATGCTCAAAATCCCAGAGGATAATGGAGAAAGGGACTGTGGTGTGGCCACCCCTTCTGGGGGATGATTTCTCGCTTTGTCTCTGAGTACACATGCTCTATAGCATCTCTCAAAAAAAAGCCCTCTTAATCTGGCCCCTGCCTGCCGCTCCATCTCCCTGCTGCTGTGACACAGCCTACCCAAGGTACTTGCAGGGTCCCAGGCACACCTTACCTCTGTGCACCTCAATGCCTGCCCCCTGGTTTCCTTCCTGACCAGCTCCTATCACCTCTGCCGTGGTCAGGTTCAGGTCTGCCTCTCCCCCAGCTGGTGCTCACTGCCACGGCTGTGCTTACTGCCCATCGGCACTCCCTAGTTTGCTGTCTGTACCAGGCAGTGAGGTCCTCAAGAACAGGGACGTGCCTGGGCACACGGCACTCAGAAACTAAAGCACAAAGGAAGGGCGAGGAAGGAGAAGCGAGGGATCTCAGATGCAGGCCGGGGCACGAGCTGAGTCTGAGGGCCACCAGGCGGCACGTTAGGGAGGGAGGCAGGTCTTTGCTCCGCTGTGGCTGCTCCACCATAGAAGGGGCTCTTGGTCTTGTTATACTGTGGAAGTGGACTAGGGGCTTTCTGCAGTTAGCCCAGCCTGGCTAGGACGAGGCCACCAGTCCTAATTCCAGTGATTTCCAAAAAAGGGAAACTGGGCAGATAGGCTGCAATGATCTGGGGGTATAACACGTCCGTCTGCTCGACTGCTTGTTCATTTGCTTAACAACCTGGGTTTCTATAGAAGCCTTCCAGGGAATAACAGGCTCCACATTTTAAGAACCTTTTGAAAACTCTGACCTTATTAAGATTCTCTCTCTGTGGCCACTGGCAGAGCTGTGTGCCCGACCACGGTTTGATTTCTCCAGTCCCCCTCCCTGTGAGAGTGCCACTGACTCTGGGACACTCCATATCCGAACCCAGCCCAGTACCTTTATTGTCCGCAGCAATAAACCCGAGGATGTTCTCATGGCGCAGCATGACTGTCTGGTATATCTCCGCTTCCCGGCACCAGGACCGCTCCTCACGCGAAGAGCAA